GTCATCGTATTGTAGTCGATATAAATACGATTGATCGCTGAATTATGCGGTCGATTACAGACGCCGCCACATAAATCGATATTTCATTCCGGCACAAAACAAACTCGCTTTCGCTTACTATTCTTCACTACCTATGATGATCGAGCAGGGACATCTGCTTAACTGCTGAAGACTCTTTCGCCTTTGCTTTCGATGATAAGGTTATCGTAAAGTCTGCCTGAACGCTATTTGCCCGCGATGAGCAACCGCCGAACTCACGCTTCATCTGCCGCTGGGCTTCTTTGCTGTCATCTTCCTGTCTTTCCATTAATCTCCCGTAATTGAAGATCGTCCTACGGTGATGCTGACGTTACCGTACTTTACCGTGATAATGGCTGAATCGAAGATATCTGACATTTATAATGATGAAGTGGCTATTTCAGTGGCGTCGAACCGGTTCGTGCACGGTGGTTCCATTTCTGAGCGGCCCCGTCGTGATATTGCTCGAATGTTGCTGACGCGGCATCATTTTTGCTCATCACCAACGATAACGCTCCCAGATGTTCACCGACGGTGTGTGTTACTAATATTGCCCAGATATCTGACGCTCATGTTTGCGTCGACGTGTTCTACAAACCAACGATAATTGGCTGTAATGATCGTGATATGTAATATATATGTTCGCCGATAGAGATATTATATTATTTATGAGGAAGATACGCTGCATACTTAACGCGCGAGCTCTGGACTCGTAACTGCTGAAGCTAATACTGAAATATGCATTTCTTTCCAAACGTCATCTTTGTGGGTATGGCAGCTTCGGTAACCATTCGACCGCTGTTCAGAAGCATTGAGCGGAAATGGTCATCAAAATATCGCGAAAAAACTGCGGATATTCACCAAACGCTTCTTCAGTTACCGCCAGCCAGAATATCTGCGGGTTGATACTGTGTCGTCTTTCCGAATGCTACGTAACAAATTTCTGACCAAATATCCGGAAATCAATTGGTGATGAGACTGATGAATGCTTCCGGTTATCGCTTGCGTTTTGAACTCAATCGGCAATCATGATGATGGTCGAACAGTTTACTGGAGGTAGTCTGTTTAATGATGGATGTGACTACTCTTCACCGGCGGAACGGCGTTTTATAGTCTGTCTTTATAATTGCGACCCGAACATTTGTTTATTCGACCGGATCAATCGATCGTGGATATCCAGCAAAATCGTAGTGAAGTTCATCGGGTCGTCGACAGCTGAAACCGACCGAATCGGTGCGTCACGGCTGCTTTCCGGTATACTTTCAATTTCAACGTGAACAACGGCATACGGTCGCAATTCAACGTCGCTCAACAACCGCGACTATCTTGGATGACCTGATGAAGTACCGAAGGATGAACTTTCGTCGTTTGATAATGCGTCGCTTCGAGGATGGCGAATCTTTGATCTGGTATCAATGGTATTGATTGGTGATTGGTTTTGCCGTGGCCAATGCTCGGTAGGACCACGGTACCGGGACGCGGCTGAGTGAAGCTTTGCGTCTTTGCGGTGTGGACTTCGAGACGCCGGGTTTTAGCGTGACTGAGGACGCTTTTGCGCAGGCCTCTTGCCGTATCTGTTGAAGATGAAGTAGGGTGACCCGTCTCGGTTTGAGCAAGAGAATCTATTGACCATGCGGGCCTCCAGGCTAGTGTTGGGATGTTGTAATGTTAGCGCAGCGGATGTTGGGATTGTTGACATTTATGGCGTTGGTGATGGATCTTCATAACGACTGGGACGAATCTGCTGGCATTTCCGCAGAGCAACGACTTGAAGTTAAAATGCTTCGATACTCTGTTGATAATATCTGTTTTAAGGATTGGTGAGATTACGAGGGCTGATGAAATTGTTCTGGTGCCAGTTAGCGCGTGTGGTGGTCTTCTTTATGCCGATTAGCTGCAGTGTGGGGTGAGTCGTATCATATGGCTTTATTCGTGGTTGCCTCAAGTTATGTGCTTTGATGGCACTTGTTTCCATATGTTTGTACATTTGATAAGCTGCCAATACCGGCGCAGAACTGCTGCACAATGCGGCGAAGCAAGGAATTGCATAAGGTGGTTCATAGCGATTGCAGATTTGTTTATACATCATGGTGTGGTGTCGGATGCGAGAATGCGAAGCGCGTGCAAGTTGGCAATCGATCGAATAATGATTATATTTCGCTTCTACGACATCTGCATCCATTCAACTGCTGGTGTTTCATAAATCATTATTCAACAGTCACCTCATCGAAGATGGCGTCCCGATAAAGACTGTAGTGTTCGAAACACGTGAAAATACATTTCACCAATGGCTGAAGACATTAATGATGATAAATAACAGTTACCGACGAAATGAGCTAAAGTGTCTACGGCAACTGACTGATGACCACGGACTTCTTCTGTCAATGCATCTCCGATCTTACCTCGTACGTCACCCGCCCTATTACCTTCGATGTTGTCATCTTGCGGAAATCCTGCAAATCTTTCATTAAAGGTTAAATTCATCACGTAAATTACGGGCCAATAGTCACACTAAGATAAAGTGTCACTAATCAACATGTCGATGAGTTCGATCCGATATTCCGTATTCAATGAAATCGAACCTGCTCTTCATTACTGCCCCATACTGTTTCGTAATGAAGACGGACAACCGGTAACTATTATGATAGTGTTTATATTGAATAATTATACCGATATCGGTGCCGTAATAAACGTTGTACCTAATGTTCTGTCCGGTGCTTCTTTATGATAGACGTTATATTCCGGCACCCGATGTTCTCCCAGTATGCAATGGTGTATTCAAATCATGTTGATAATCGAAAACTTCGTTCCGGGGTAATAAACGTGTTGAGGATATCAAACGATCTTCTGTTCTGTAAAATCAATAACGATACCGGATGTGCATTATTCGACGGTGATGGATGATAAATAGGAATCTCGCCTCGTGTCTTCTGAGGATCGATATCAACGCTCGTTAAACCAAAGTTAAACCGGTGTTCTCAACGTTCGTGTTGATACGGTGTATCGAACTTTAAAGGTGGTTCTGTTATTAAATACCGCCGATCAGTGATAATGAGTTCCCTTTGTTCACATCGTGAATTCCTTCGCATCATTATGACTTACATCGGTTCAACGGTGTGAAAATCAATAAACGCTCCATTATTAATGAGGATTTTGTTTGGCCGCGACGAATGGTGAAATCGTTTAATACGTCATCGATTGATGATCAGCAATGAAGCGATATATTATTCCAGACCGCGCTCGTTGGCGCTTTTAAGGTGGTATTCTATTTTATGTTACAATTCCATTGTAACTGTATTCTTCGATTGAAAGTATTTTGAAGATGTACCCGATATTATTGACAAATACATAATCATTACCTCTTATATCGCAGTACGCATGTAAAACCGTGGTTGATCGATCATTATGAATCGAATTTCGAAATGATGGAAGGATTGACCAGAAATTGAAACTTGCTGTAGTTACAATTAAGAAAGGCAATAAGCTACTGAGGATAATCATATAACGATACGTAGGCA